ATGTCAAATATACATGTAAAATGGTGAATGGTAGATAGTGGTAGAAAGATTTTGATTCTGTTTTGTTTCTCCATAGTGCACCCCCTGGCAGCAACCAACAGGCTTGATCTTCACCAACCTTTCTTCAGTCCACCCGAGGGAGAAATTCCGCCTGGAGCTGAAGTGGATGCCAGTTGAAGCGCAAGAACCAGAGGGTGAAGATACGGAGCTCCCTGACTTGTTCCTCGTGGAGGGGCTGGATATGGCCCAAGTTCCAGGCGTGGGGACCAAGGTCAAGCAACTCTCAGAGGGTGGCCAAGAAGATGTCAAGCACACTGCCATCTATGTGCAAACTGCTCCTCAACTGAACTCTGGGATGTTCTGCGACGTTGTTGACTTCTCTCAAGAATTCTCAGTTGGGGCTGCGTAGTGTTGCGACGCATATCCTTCCTGGAGTTGCTACATGTACTGTATCCAGCTTCCTCTTCAGAGCAAGGTGTCTGCTTTGTCGGAGTCGCTGGAGCCGCTTCAGAAGGCTGAAACCTTGAGTCGGATTGTCGCCATTTACAACTACCTGGACAGTCAGGCGCAAGGAGGCACTTATGGGGGAAGCTGCCTGCCCTGCTTTTGCCCATCCACACGCCTCACTTCGCCTGCTTTTGCAGGAGCCAGTGCACGCACACTCACCTTGATCACCAGGGTGGGTGCAACGTGGAGAAGGCGCAGCTGGCGCTAGCATTCTGTTTTGTCTTGCTATCCCCAAGTAGAGCTTGCTCTCGCCTGGCACATGTCCAGCCAGTAATTTCCGGAAAAAGCGTACTTTCACGCTCTCCCAATTTTGCTAGACCGTCAGGATGAAGTGAACCCACTTGCGGGTATGATACGGTCTTTGGCCTTGGCGTTCAGCTATGAGACGCAGTCCGGGCTTCGGATCCAGTATGTAGACTTGCTTCTTCTGAAAGACAGCATTGATTGGCAAGATGAGTTGGTCAAGCTGTTGAAGAGCTGGCCGAAAGCTTCGGAGATTGCACTTCGAATGGGCGGCAGCATGGGTCTGCAACGCCTGGAGTGCCGACTTTCAGCCTCTCCATGGGAGGATCCTGGACAGCAGCATTTGAAGATCTCCTACAGCACCAGAATGCCTGTGGAGCTAGGTGAGGGAACGTTGGTGGCTGGGATTATCCATGGCAAGAATGCGTTGGCGTTTCTTCCACGACGGCTGACTCAGCAAACTGACATCAGTGGGATTTTGCCAGTGGACATTCCTTCCGGCATGCAGCCTGAGAAGGCTCTGGCTGTTGTCAGGAGCTGGCTGTGGCCTCATGTAATAGATGAAGTCTTGAAAGATGTGGACAGGGTGTGTCTTCCCAGCAGCGGGCCAGATTGGGAGAGAAAGGTCCTGAAGCTGATCGAGCGAAGGCATGGGTCATACACCAGGAGCTCAGACGGTGCGGATGGCAGTGACTGCTTTATTCTGACCAAGTCAGAGGCTGTTGCTCAGATCTCGCTGGCTACGCACAAGCCGCGGCTTATCAGCAGATGCGTTTCCAGTATTCTCGATGAGGCTGACCGCCTAGATGCCTTGGAGTCCTTGGAGCAGGAAAGCTGCTGCATCACGCCGCATAGGGAGGAGATGCTGAAGCTGAGTGGTGAAGCTACTTATGTCGTGGCTGGAGGGACACGAGGACTTGGATTGGAGATGGCCACGTACCTTGCAGCACATGGCGGAGATGTAGTTGCCCTTGGCCGCAATGTGTCTGCTGCCTAGAGCATTGGGAGACATGCACCTGCTTAGATCGAATGATGCGCCACCTGAGTGGTATACCTGAGGCCAGACGGAGCAAATGCCATCAACATTCCAAATCTATCCTTCCAGGCAAGAAGTTACCGTGCAGGATGAGCGTTTTGTGGCCTCTCTCCCGCTCGCCCGCCCACATGATCCCGCGCTCTCCCTCCCCTCTCCATCTCTGTGTGTCTTTCTTTTTCCCCTTCCTCTCTCTTACTCACTCTCTCTCTCTCCCTCTCTGTCTCTCTATCTATCTCTCTGTCAGGCGTGTGATTGCACCTCTCCAAAGTCAGTGGAGGGCATTCTGACAGAGCTCCGGACAAAGGCCCGTGGGGATTTCATAGACGTGGTGATTTTCGCTGATGGCAGATGTTTTCATGAAAGTTCCGTACATTGCTGCAAAATTATGTCGTTTTCTCATCCTGTCAGAAACCCATCGCTGGCATAATCTCTGCGGCCACGCAGTATGGAGACCAAATGCTTGCGAGCATGACATCTGCAGAAGCTTGGCGTGACAATCTGGAGGTGAAAGCCCGTTGTGCATACAACTTGCACATGGCGGCCAGCAACCTTAATCTAGACTTAGAGTTCTTCATCGTGGTTAGCTCCATTGCTTCGTTGCTTGGAAGCAAGGGTCAAGCTGCATATGTAGCAGCAAATACTTACACGGAAGACCTCATGGCGCATCGCCGTTACCTGGGCCTCTGTGGAAGTCACCTGAACGTTGGGGTTGTTTCGGACAAGGGTCATGCACACGAGCAGGGTCTTGTTGACACCTGGCGGAGGAAAGGAATCAACCCGATCACTGCGGCGGATGCGTGCGATGCTCTTGGGTATCTGATCTCATCAGGATGCAACTGCGCTGCGGTCTCAGGAGCAGTGGGCATCAGGGAACAGCTGAAGATGAACCCCAGCCTTCTCAAAAACATGTTGGAGCTGAACAATCTCTCGCGACTCAGAGGTCTCGCTACGAATGAGGAGCTTCTGGGTATCGTGGACTCGATTGGTGATTCGGCTTCGCTAATAGAGAAGTTGCGACAGACGACCTCAGCACAGGAGAGGACGCTCATGATTTCCCAGGAGCTCAGACAATTTTTCGAAAGGCGTGGACAGCACGTGGACGAGGCTTTGCCGCTGAGAGAGCAAGGTCAGGATTCCCTTGAGATGTCAAGCTTGAAATCGGAGCTCCGGAGCATCTTTGGAGTCGAGCTGTCGTCGGTTTTTTTAAATTCAGAGAGTGCGCGACTTGGGACGATTGCTGAAAAAATTGACAAGTTGATCTTGGACGCTCCTGTCCCTGATCAATTCCCGTGGCAAGCATGGTACCAACTCCAACGCAACTCCGGGACCGTGCCTGACCGCCCAGAAAGGGTCTTGGTGGTCGTGCCGCCTATCGCCTGTGGCACTGAGCTTGTGTCTTCGTGGCATTTGCAGATGCCAAATATGCCAATTGCCTGTGCCAAGTTGCCAGGCTGGGCTGACCGCCCTGACGAGGACTGTGTGCAGACATGGGCTGATCTCATCGACAAGTTATTCCAGCATTTGGAAGCAATGCTGGAAAACAATGGCTGGAAGACTCTGGAATTCTACGGCCACTCATTTGGGGCTCGGGTTGCCTGGGCTCTTGCCCAGAAGATTCAGCAGACCCCTGGACTCACATTGCACCGTCTCTCTGTTGGAGCTTGGTTTGGGCCTCTTCATGGCCCCTGCCTCCCGCTGGGGTGGCACCCTGACAGCGCAGATGATGCGAGGCAGATTCTACAGCCTCTCAAGTTTCTGGACCTTGGCTTTGTGGACAAGGCCACAGACTCCCAGGTCTTGCAGACCGCGAAGTGCGTCCTTTCTTCTTGGAAGATGCTACTTGTCATATTAACCTGCGCAGGCACTGCTTGCTGCTTGCTTGGAAGCAACATGTTTCAGGACATGCTTGACATCAGTTTTGCAGCATTGTCCAGCCCACTCTAGCAGACTTCATTCAAAACAGAGACTCTCTTTTTCTGGGCTCCCAAGCCTTGAACCTCAGAATATCTCAGAGTGGAAGGGCATGCGACAAGGGGGGGATTGCGGAGGCAGAAGGTGGCTTGTCCAGCAAGCATGCGCTGTCTTGGAAGCGCGATGTCCCGGTGTGCCGGAATAGGCTTAGGCCTTGCTGTTCTATCTTTTCTGGTCTTTCTCTTCTCGCAAGCGGGCACTGATCCAAGCCGTCAAAGAGGCTTTGGAAGTTTTTGTCGGGACAGGTTGCAGGAAAGTTGCGTAGTGGCACATTCAAGTCTTGGTAGCCCAGTTCTATTCCTGCCTCCAAATTGTTTCCATCAGCCAGACGAGCGGTCCCTGTTGAGCCGAGGCTGCAAGAAGAGAGTCTTCATCTGGAGCCACTCTTGAGCTGTGACATCACAGCATTTGCCGGGACCAGAGATGAGTTTGTGTCGCAAGCAGATGTTCAGGAGTGGAAAAACGCCATGGCTGAAGGATTCAAGTTTAAGTTGAAGACGCTGGATGCGCACCACGGCTTCATGGAATCGCACGCGACAGACATTGCATTAGAGATCTCAGACTAGTTGCCGATGCTGCTGGGACAACCCCATCCTTGGTCCAAAGTTGCCAAGTAGGCAAAGGATTCTGGCCGCTCATGCAGGGCAACATTTGGACGAGGATCCTGTGGATGTGACAGAACTGTATCATGTTTTGAAGTGTAGGAGTTGCTGCAAGAGCAGCCAGTGTAGCGAGATGTGCAAGCCTTTGCCGCCTTGGCAGTGAATCAGTCGCACTCCTGTGATACTAGCGGAGGAGCAGTGATTTTTCCAGAACATTGATAGATCTTGTGACGCCCACGAGGCTTGACGCTCAAGTGACCCATGTAACACTCTTGAAATGAAGGGTGTTTCTTTTCCGTGAGGCTTGATGCTCCGTGTGTGGTACATTCGGGGCACAAGCCGAGCGGGACTTTAGAGCAGGGGAGCAAAAAGCGTATATTACAATGCTGCGTTGTGCCCACTTCATGTCAGACATCTATCTAGGCTTGACGGTGGCCGGTGTGCAGGCAGCTGAAGGCATGTCTCGGCTCTGTGTTGGGTGAGTGTGCTGCCAGGCTCGAAGGGTTCAGTTTAATCTCCTTCCTGATCCGTCCAACTTTTGCACCTCAGCACCTTGCCTGCATTGAAGGCATGTACGAACATGGCAAAGCTGATAGAGCGCTCCTGGAGAGTACTTGGAACCCTTTGGATAGTCTGAGGGGATGGCTGGACGAGGCCTTGTTGAGGGAGGACTCGTGCTGGGTGAAGATGAGCGGAAGAAGCTGGCAAAGACGGTTGTCGATGCTGCCATCAGCATCTACACAATTGGCATGATGAAGGAGTGTTACGCTCCTGTGGAGGTGATCAATCAATGGGTGCCCGCGCTAGCAGGCTTCTTTCCCAGCCTTGCGACCTCGCCACTTTCATGGGAGGATCGGCATCGTGCAATTGCAAAGCTCTTGTACGAGGTCGGCTTGCGTTTGGGTGGCTTGGCCTTCAAGGCCATGCAATTCGTGGGTCTGCGGGATGATCTCCCGGATGGGTACAAGCAGTGGTTCTCCAAGGCGCAGGAGAACACTGACTTTTTCAGCTCGGAAGACCATGTGAAGCGGGTTTTGGGTGAATTTGCACCCAGATTGAAGTGGAGTTTTGAGCCTGTGAAGTCCGCATCCATTGCGCAGGTGCACCTGAATGCTTCCTGGGACGGGCGGCCGGCCATTGCCAAGGTGCAGCACGCGCACGTGAAGGCGGAGTACGCCGGTGACCTGAAGACCATGGCAGAACTCGGTCGTTACGTCAACAAATACCCAGAGGCAACGGGCGCGGCGGTTATGCTGGAGGCCCTGGCATTGAAGCTGGCACCCACGGTTGACATGGAGACGGACTTCAACAGAGAAAGGGTGAACCAAGAGCGTGCACGTGAGCTCTTCCGGACACATGACACCGACGTGGTGGTGGCTGAGGCAGTCCTGTTCTGCACTCTACTAGCGGACCTACTAGTATTAAGTCAGTACTTGCTGCAGCTTGCGCCTTATGCTTTCGAAGCTGTTGTGCTTTGCTGGTGTGGTGCCCAGAGGTTTACGCGGCCTCATCGGAAGGTCTGGTCATGGAGAAGCTGGAGGGAATCACAGCTGCGGAGGCCATTGCCGGCTGGAAGCAGGGAGGTAAGAACGACATCTTCGGACGGAAGCAGCGAGACGCCGTCTACAGTGCCTTTGCGGACATGGTGCTGAAGCATGGCTTCTTCCAAATGGATGCGCACCCAGGAAACCTCATGATCCTCAAGGACGGTCGCCTGGCCTTGCTGGACTTTGGCCAGTGCTGTGAGCCCACGGAGGAACAGCGAAAGCGCTTCCAGCAGTTTGCGCTTATGGCGCCAACCTCCGAAGAAGCAACTCAAGACAGCAAGAAACTCAGGTCCTGGTTGTCAAACATGGGCATCGAAGTGACGGAGCCGAAGGCTGCGACAACAGCACAAATGCTCTTCTATGGTGAGAAGAGCTCCATGTTTCCGGACACAGACAGGATCGACCCGGAGATCATGCCATTGCTCCTCATCGTGCTCTACCTGTCCCGCTTCGAGAATACGGTGGCTCAACTGCGCACTCAGGCAGGTTTCCAAGATACGGAGGACCACTTTGCCGTTCTTCGAGCTTTTAACAAGAAGGCAGCTCTGGTGATGCCGGAGGCGCACACAGACCTCTGAATCCGCCTCGCTGGAGCACAAGCTCCAAGGGCCAAGTTGGCACTGCGTTGAGGCGATCCACTATGAGAGCGCAAAGGATTGGTATGAAAGGGAGGGTGTTTCGTTTCTTTCCTGCAAGGCTTGATGCTCCGTGTGTGGTACATTCGGGGCACAAGCCCAGCGGGACTTTAGAGCAGGGTTGCACAGGGCAGTGAGCAAAAAGTCTTGTGCCAGTCATCCATCCAGGGGCATGTCTGAGCTAATCAGCAGCAGAATCAGAGGGATTCTGTCACGCGCCTCGTCGGCTCGCCACGATCGTAGACCAAGTGGGTCTTTCCGATTCAATGATGTGAAGGCTGGCGCTTTGCCTATACAAATGTTTAAGGTGGTGACAACGTTTTGCTGATGCTAGGCGCCGGGGAGTCCGAACGTCCCGTAGGCGGGAACCCATCAACGCCCATTCCTGTCAGGACTGTCCCAAACATTGACAGTCGTTGGAAATTCATGGCCATCTACCCGAGGCAAGCCACTGACCGAGCGATCGTTCAGATTATGCTGGGCACTCTTGCTGTCGTTAGTGTCAGCGTCTGGTCGTCTGACAAGTCAAAGATCTTGCAACACAAGCTAGGTTTTCTCGCAATCTGCTGTTATGCTGTTGGGTTGCAGCTCGGTGCTCAGAAGGAATGTGGCCTGTGAATTAATTCCGGAGTGAAGCCTGCTTTCTGCTGCAACCATGCTGATTTTCCATTCTGCTCACCCTTCCTACTTATCAGATATAATTGGTTTAGTTCCAAGAAGCTGGAAAGAGCCTCTTCGCCAGCTGAGGGGTTAAGTGCCAGGCTTATCGCGACAAGCTGACATCTGAGGCGCTCAGCGCTGCATCCAAGTTCCGATCCATCAATCCCGCCCAACAGGCCGCCGGTTCAAAAAACAGTCCCTGCTGGACTGGACAAGCTTGTCAGCCCTCACATTGCCGCATCATTATCCCCACCATCATCATTGCTATTGTCATCATCACCTTCTTCGTCATCATCATCATCATCATCATCATCATCATCCTTGAGAACTTCTGATAGCTTTGCAGGTGCCAAGGTCCAAAGTTGACTTGAGCGAGGAGGGCCGTGCAGTTGCGCAGCTGGCCTGTTTGACCGCTCAGCTCCTGGCAGTTTAAGTAGAAAAGTTCAACTTGTTTGCATTGGCATGGAGACGCCTCGCTGTCCTGAATCGCCTTGAATAGTCGAAAGTGGAGACGCTGGATATGTTGGATGTGTTGGAGTAGATCTGCAGGGTTCAATTTCAGCATTTTCAAGTCCGCCTCGAGGCGATGGCCATGTTGCTGTGTTCTGCCGGGTTTCTGAGCCTCACCTTATTCATTCTGCTGGCCTGGGCCTGGGATTAAGGCTTTCCAAAGGTTTCGCAAGCTGAGCTTCTTTCGCTTTTCCAGAGGTTTGCTGCTTGCTGGACACAGCGCTGAGCTGGAAACACCGGGCGACCTACTACGCCTGCCGGCAGAAGGCAAGGACCTCTCTGCCCTCGTCACAGCACCCTTTTGATAGTCCTGCTCGGCCAGCTGAGGTCCAACAGGTCCAGAATGCCTTGATGAAGGGTAAAGATGACCTCTCCCTGCCAGGGACTCTAAAGATTGAATGATGCGCTGCCTTGGCCACACTATCTCGCAGGTGCCCTTACTGCGTTGAGTGCACTCAGCCGGGAAGCTCAGTGTGGAGGGCTGTGATCTGCAGGACTTCAAAGCCTCAAGCCCGATTAAGGTATACACAGGCGCAAAAGAAGGTGAAGTTCATCTGCGGCCACGGGTATCATCTGCATTGCATCAATCGTTGGCCGGGATCTTGGCAGGAGTAGATGTCAAGGCAAAACATGGCAAAGCTCAGGTTCCAAGACCACCCAAACTCCGTGGGCTCCTGCCCCGTGTGCGAGGCAAGGCTCAAAGCAGGCCCGAGCCCCAAACGTGAAGCTGCTCTGCTCAGGGTGGAAGCTCAGGCGGGGAGACGCCCCGGGACGAGGCCTTTTTCTGCAGGGTAAAGACCTGGAGAACATCATTTGATGCCAGGCCCAGACCTTCATGCTGCACAGCCTGCAGAGGCGGCAAGTGCCGCTTGGGACCTTTGAGGCCATGCACGGACACCTTGCAAGTGCAGGCGCTATCCCACGATCATCACGCAGGCCAGGGCCCAGCATTTGTCGAGTGAAGTAGGTGTCACTGGTTTTGGAGCCACCAAGGATTGCGTCGAAAGCTGGGAAGGATGCAATGCCGAGCTCTGGCTGACGGTAATGAAATGCCCCAGGCACAGAGAAGGGCAGAATCCCTGCCACGAGCCGTGGACGCCCGGCATTCTCCGCATGGGCTCTCGGTAGGTACAGCTCCTTGTTCAGCAAAGTCTTCGCTCGAGAGTGAGCGGCAACCGCCAGCAGGGAGCATGTATCCGGAATGCAGCCGCTCTGCTCAGCGGCTCCAAATGTTGTGCAAAAATCCGTTGCCTGCCTGTCACGTGCTTGTGAATGGGAGAGCCCAAGCAGGGCCCTACAGAGATCAGCATCCAGTGTCGAGAGCTGCGAACACCGTAGGCTGTCGGCTCAAACTGCTCATGCTCCGAGCTGGACATGCTCCACATGCTCGAAAGCTCGCCTGGCTGATTGCCGAGATCGCGCGCGCGACTGGGGAAGGACCAGTACAGACCAATGCCCATCCAGTCACCCACCTGGCGCACCTTTGGGTAAGAGGCGATCGAGTAGCTCTACCTTGCAGGGGGCCCGGCCGTCACCCCTCAGATCAGAAGAAAGAAGAGGTTCAGTATTCTGCTGGTTTTTTCGATGGCGCGGGCCAGGTAGTCAAGGATACAGCCGGTTACAGGTTGGAGCTCACGCTACCTTTGGAGCAGCAGGCGGCGATCCTGCTGTTCCTCGACCTCTATGGTGGCACAGCGCTCAGATCCAGCAATGTCAAGCCTTCAAACCTTTGAGTTGTTCTCGGAATTTTTTCAGTGCAGTAGAGGTGTGGTTGCCAGCAGTGAGTCGCCCGGGATCGAAGGCGAGGGGCCCCTGGCACCTCGGCCTCAGCTGAAGCTGGGTTGCAGTCGAGGTTTCAAAAATTGTCAATTGCATAAATTTATTCCAAGAACTGTAAGACCTTCCCTTGAAGTGTGTCAGAGCCTAGGAAGTGGTCTTTGGCTGGCCCACATTCGCAGGTCGCAGCCTTTGCCCTCTCGAGCTTTGCCGCGCTGCGCCGGTTCTCCGGCGTGAATCATGTGACCATGAAGCGTATCGAGAACAGACACTTGCCAAATTTCTATGAGCTCCAAACACAAACCGAGGCCGCAACTGCTGGGCGCAGGGGCAGTGCGGCTCGCCCCGCATGCGGCTTTGGCAATGAGGTGGATGCAGCCCTGTCGCTGTGAGATGAGTTGGCCTTACGTAGCCGGGCTTTTCGATGCAAGTGGCCGCATCGTCCGCATCAACGAGCTCACTCTGCTCGAGTTGATCCCTGCCAAGCATGGAATCTTTTGCAATTGCCTGCAATTGCCTGTGCGCAGCCTGCATAGTCCTGCATTGCAGCATTGCTTTTTTGAAGCGATGGCGTTCAGGACGCAGAGATCTGGCAGCTTCCTGGAGAGCCTGCAGCGCTTCCTGGACGCTGGTAGTGGGGTCGTCGTGCGGCACTTTCACCGTGTGAGCCGCCTGGTGGTTCGCGACTCTTCGAGCCGGCAAGCCCTCCGTATGCTTCTGAAGGCAGGTCTGACACTCGGCGCCAAAGCTAGAGGCAGAGTATGCCCTTCAGTTCGATATTCCCTTTGCAGCATGAGTCCTTGAGTCCAGCTATGTGCGATCTGCACCCAGGAGGCTCCGGAAGGATGCGGCTGAGCTGGCATTGCTGGCATCTGCCCCAAGCTCGCGCGGCTGGCAGCTTTCCCCTGGATCCCTCCGACTTCTCTTGGCTGCTCGCCGGGACTTCCTGGATTGCGAGGCTGGGCGCTGCAGGCGAACTGGGGAGTGCAAGATTTCGACTAGTAAAGTTTCCGGGCTTGGTGACTCAACTTAGATGAACTTTGCACCCTGTGGCAGGCTGGTGCCTTTGGCACAAAGCTGGGCGCGGCACCAGGAAGCCCAGGCACGTCAAAGGGACGCCGCCAACGTGCGCCACGCCCTGCGGCTCTTGCACCTTGCCCGGGACAGCCCTCAAACCCGTGAAGCTACATGAAAGCCGCTTCCTGAATGCAAGCACGCCATTCCGTGCCTTGCACATGGAGGTTCACATTGGGATGGACACGACGTGTGCTGAATGCGATCCAGGAAGAAGAAAGATTAAGGCAGATTAGTTCCTGGATGCAAAGAGACCCCAGCCTGCAAATACTTGGACGGTGTTGCCACCGACAACTGACTGAAACAGTGATTCGGCGAGATGATGATTCCAGAGCTTTAGGTCTTCCAGCTACGACTGGTGAGTGGCATCTCCATAGGCTCGAGGAGCGTCATGGGAGCTCCACATCCAGCTGCCACGACATGTCCTGTTGACTTGATGGAGATATGTTTCTTCGCTATTTCGCATTTTGCCCCTTGGCGGAAGGCGATGACACATCCGTATCCTGGGAGATCAAAGGAGCGAGGTGCTCTCTCAACACGCAGTTGGCACTGGTCCGACTGCAGGAGACTTTATGGATTTGCTGTATTTTCCAAAGATGGCTGATCAGACGACGTGAGGCTTTGGAAGCAGGTCATCTGCTGATGTGAGTGCTCGTCTGCCGCAAGTTCGATGTTTGCCCGTTGCCTATAGTGTTTGTGCTCGAGGCCTTGCAACAGGAAGGATTCTCGCATCTGTCCTTCCCGTCCTCTTCAAGTATACGGTCACCAACTTTCTGGGAATCGAATGCTCACGGCAAACCCTCGACTTCCTGGTTTCTGTTATCGCAAGCAGGCTGATGCGGGGCAAGGAGAGATGTGCCGTTGGGCGACGAAGGAGATGAAAGCTGAGATGGACAGTTTTCCAAGCCTCTTGCAGAGCATGC